TGTGTGTGTGTGTGTGTGTGTGTGTGTGTGTGTGTGTGTGTGAGAGCTGCGTCAGTCTGACTTACAGGTTCTGTGTTTAGGGAACGAGAACGCCGTGAGAAAGAGAGGGACGAATGGGAAAAGCAGTACGGCCGACAGAGCCACTCACCGTCTCCCTCCAAACACAGTAAGATGTTTTTTTTTGGTCCACCACAGACTCCTTTASTTTAGTCGACATGCATTAATTTCTTCTTGTATCCTCATAGCAGTCATATTTTACCAGCTGTTTGATTAGCTGCCATCAGTCTCAGCTGTCAGTTTTATAGTCTTTAAGATGTCAAGGCATGCACTTGTTTTTTATTGTGGTTCTGTTTCCTCTGTCCCTCAGGCCGAGAATCCAACTCATACAAAAGGTATGTAAGAAGCCACAGGAATCCTCACGGTTCCAACAAAGCTGAACAAATCAGTGTTTCCTTTTCATAATACATAATACACAAACACAAATGCCTGCTGATTGAATACTTTTCAGCTCAGCGGCTTTTCTCTTGTTCAGAATAAAAAAATAGTTTTATTTGTTCTTGAAACAAACCCAAACTTGTCCAGTTTTCCATTTGTCCTCAAATCAGACTCCTATTCTTAGTGCCYAATTAATAAAAGACTGTGGTCTGAGCTCTCTGCCAGCCTGGAGGTTTGGCTCAAGACTATTTGAGTTACTTGGTTATAACCAAAGAGCTGCAGCAGAAGCTGACATAAGGTCAGGCTTTAAGCGTTGAATTTTGAACTGCTTGACCTCAGATGACTGACAGAACCTGACTTGATCATCTTCTGTTGTGGTTTGTGTTATATAACAGTGTGACRTTTCCCAGAGGATTATTTGCATACTACAGTTGTACACAATAACCTGATGGTTTCTTTTATTGTTGCATATAAGGTTACAGAAGTACTCAAACTGGCCTGTCCACTGTCAGGCTGTTGTTTTTAACCCTTTATTGATGCCTTTTCTAAAGATGAGCTGGATCTCATCACCAGAGTTTGAAGTAGTTATCATTGGCTCATTATCTGATTAAATAAGGGTGTAAAAATAGAATTAAATATAGACCATTAAACAAAAAGGGAAAAAAATCTGCTTTTACATCTGAAAGGTGTGTTTTTGGTCTTATGATTATTTGTTGTTAGCTTTTCTACTAAGAGTTGTCTTTTTTTTCCCCAGAAAGTCGCGATCTCGGTCTCGGAGTCCATATTCAAGATACTGAAATATGAAGTGGAAAATGGGTCGTGTGTCTTACAGAACCTTTAGTCCGAAAACTTTTCATAATTAGTGAAGACGTACTGTCCAGCAGGAGCGTGTGTGTGGAAGTATAACGTGATGGAGTGACTGATTAGTTGATAAAACACAGAAACTTACAACTCACATTATGAAACACTGACTGTGATCCATTAATTACAGATGATTTATTTGACCTGCTTTTCTCATTTCTGCTTRTTGATAAAACTTGAGTTTTCTTCACCTCTGCATGTTACCTCCTCCTCCCTTGTTGTGCACCTTCAGAGTGTAAAACTAAAGCAATACCTGAAGGTTCACCTTTTCTCCTCTTTGTGACACAATGTTCCCCCACTATTTACGTTTCTGTAACTGGAAAATACTCAAAAGGATGGATCGCTTGAACAGGGCTCATGAACTGATTGTATAAATATAGAATTAAAATCGCTGTACAAATGAGGATCTAGTCTGCATTTAATGAACTGTTTATTGCTCTTTTTGTACTCTGTCCTCTGCTGGCCAATAGAGCTGTTGATTCTCTTAACGTGGAATGTGAAATACAGAACAAATAAAAGTTGTTTTGAAATAAACCTCTGTTTTTAATCTGTTTTAAATTAATCATTATTGTTAAATGCTTGAAGGAACTACTTTTTCATGATGGGTTTAAACTCTGATAACCTCATGATGACAGAGGAGAGTTGTAGCAATTTAGTTCAAACCTGTAAATGTTACACAYGTTGGGCATGAGTTCGTATTACTGCTAAACACAAATTTAAGTTACAAATTGCCCGATAAATTGTAGGGGAAGAACAAATATCTTTACTTTTTAAATTTATTTTGCTTCATTTAACCATAAATTTGAAATTGAGTTAAAATGTGATGGCAGTCTGGTGGGCTGGCCACTAGTTGAGTAACCCTGCTCTTAAAGTTAGATGTAGCTACATCCTATGGTTAGTTTCTGAAAGTTTCATTAACAYCCAACCAGTGGTTCATGAGATATTTTGCTGACATCTCAATAGGAGTACATGTTGAAGATGACTCTTAACCAATTTCATAGCAAATTTTAGCTCAATATCTGMAAAAATAGGCTAATTTGTGGACATTTTYATGTTTGGGATTGCTCAGCTGTGGCGGTCATATTGAATGATTTTGACTCCAAAAGGTAGCTAATATTTATTTGTGACATTTTGAGTTAGTTTAGTTTGCAGACGTGCAGTACCTGCGTTTCACCACCAGGAGGCAACAAAACTCAGAACAGAACAGCCTCCAAGTTTTCTTTGAAGCTTTTCACTCTAAACAACATTCACCTGAGTGTTTCTGCCTTTTTTTTAACGAGGCTGTAAGAGCCGCAGCTGGTGGACAAGAAAAAGCAGAAGTGAACAGCGGCCTGGTTCCGGTTCGGTTTGGAGACACCTGTGGAGAATTCAGCGCGGCAGTTCCCCTGAGCTGCTGAGGAGGAACTAGATGAAGGTTCTGACCAGCAGCCCTGAAAAAAAGAAAGAAAAAAAAACGAGTTCAGTCAGGTTAAAACAAATGTTCTGAAACTACTTTAAAATATGTTCTGGTCGAAGGAGGCGGGGTTACGGGCCGGCGGGGGCGGGCGGTGCTTCTGGTCGCCCATGCCCCCTGCCCTGCTGCGCGCGCGGGGGGTGAAGAGAAGCGTGAACTTGAACGCTGCCTCCTCCTCCTCTGCTGCTCAGTGCGAGTCCAGGCAGTCTTATCAGTCCGTCCCCGCCGCCCGAGTGTCCGTCAACTTATCGGAGAAGGAAGGAGCAGCTGGGCTGGGTTCGGTTCGGTTTCAGGACCTGCGAACGAAGGGGGTCCAAAGTCCGCTCGACGCGATGTCCAGGCGCAAACTTGGAAGCCGACCGCAGCACCTGAGCGCAATTCAAGGTAAACCGGACGAGCGGACTGATGGGATGGTTTCAGGTCAGACTGGGACTTGTTCGGGTCCAGGTTTTGGTTCTGTTGGTCAGTTTGACGCGCGTGTTCTGGGCTCGTGTCTCTGACAGCTGATAAGCAGGTTATTTATGAAGAGAGGTGGACACGAGTCCAGTGAAATGTTTGGAGACGGACTCTTCATGTCCGCCTTGTTTGTCCTCATTTCGTTGCTGCGGTTCTTGTAGAGGAAGGACCGGTTTATTCTGGCACGCTTTGCTCAGAGGCTACAGGTCCGAACACGATCAATATTCCCACTTTAGAGAGGGGACGAAGTTTTTGTTTTAGCTTTAAAAACATAAAAATGCAATCTCTCTTCTTTTTTTTTTTCCAGGACACAAAAACTCAGATGCGTCATGTCAATATATTTTACTTATAATTGATCAGCCAATTAAATAATCCCATAATCTCAGGTGAAGGTGGACCTCTTACTAATGTGATTGTTTTGGGATTAGAAGGAGACAGACAGTTCAACAGAATAATAATAAAAAAAAAGCAGTATTTTAGTGGAGACCAGTGGTGCGTGTCTGGTGTGACCACAGGCCCTGACTCAACCGTGTGTGTGTGTGTGTGTGTGTGTGTGTGTGTGTAACCGCGCCTTGCAAGTCTGCACAAACAGCGCAGGCCTGAAACAGGAAAGGTGACATTTTTGAGCAACAACTGGTGAGATCCGACTTCAGACTGTACTGTCTGTACCTGTCCTGGATGATAGCCCGGCCAGGTGGATCAAGGTGTGCCCATGACCGTGTTGAGCAACACACTCCTGACCCCCCCCTCTTCCTCCCCCCTCTTCTTCCTCTTACCTGCTCAGGGTTCACACCTTCAGAGGCTTATGCTCTGCATCCTTTAAATCTTCTCACCACATGAGATGTCTTCTAAATGTTGAATCAGCTGCAGAAACAGAAGCTCTTATCTCAAACACCTTCACTCACTTCCCCCCCCCCCTCTTTTTATTGCAAACTTCTTCCTGTTGAGAAACTCCCCTCCTCTGGTGGCTGGTAAGGCAACATTTTCTTTTTTTAAGTGAAAGGTGAACGCCTCCGTGGAGATCTGACACTTCTTCTCTTTTTAAAAAAAATATAATTCAGTCATTTCTGTCCTGGGGTGCAGTCACAGAGGTGGGTCTGTGCCCAGGTGGACCGTTGGTTGGGCTCTCTGCAGCCAGCGGCCCCCGTCAGATCAGAGCGAGCTGATCTGTCACAGTTTAAAGGAAGTGGTCAGTGTTGGCTGAGCAGATTGGCCTCGTTGAGCTCACAACTGAAACTATCAGCGGGCCTGTTCGGTTGTTTCCATTGAGGTCAACAACATGTTGTGCAGAAGCTGGGTGGGACGGTTCTGAGCTGAGGGATTTGACACAAATAAGTTATCAGTTTGACATTTTGATGAAAAGAATAACAGTCAAAACATTATTTAAATACAAGTCTGGCTTAATATGAGTACTTCTGTATTGTTGACTCATTGTTTGATATTTCATAAACTATAAAAAACACTTTGAAATGTTTTTAGTCTCTCTGATGATCTCAAACCTTAACATATTTACTAAAAATGCACTGATTACGTTTTTTATATAATAATTTTTATAATAAGCTGATTTTATTTTTTCCAGTATCAKTAACAGTATTCAAAACATTTTTTTTAATATTTAAAAAGGTGACTGTTTTCATAGTAAAATGATAAGAAAAACACTTTTCACCATAACAGGTAGAGTTACAGGACGTCCTGAGTCACTGGAACATTTACAAGTATGAATGATAATCATGATTTGGACAGAAGTTAAACAAATAAAAAGCTTTGCTTTATTCTTTTACAAAGCAGAGTGTTGCTTTAAAATGATTTTTTTTTATCATTTACATCAATGTGTTTTAATTCATCTCGTCACCTGTTCTGCAGATGCAGAACTTGGAGTTTTCTGCTGCTTACCTGTGGTGTGTTCACAGACCAGGACAAAAAATAGGATTATTGGGTTAAAAAGTCAGACAGTTTTTACTCTTGTGCAGAATTATTTGTGAATCTCAAATATTTACTTTAAGAAAACAAGATGAAAAGTCTTAATTTTACTATTATTGTTTGTAATCCTTCTTTAACGATGCAGGACACTTTAGGTGTTTTATTGTCACCTGATGCTGTTTATTAATCTGTTTATTAGTCAAATATCTGCTGAACCTTTGGAAGGATTTTCATTAAACTTTCAGGAAGTTGTTGCTGATGTCTGCCTCCTCTAATTAAAAATCATTTAAACTCTTCTTCTCTTCCTCCTTGTTCTCCAGATGCTGACATGCAGGGCGACACAGGCTCATCAGGCGACCTCCCGCCTCCTCCTCCTCCTCCTCCTCAGGTCCACGCTCCAGATGAGGGTCGGGACCTGCTGACCTGTGGCCAGTGCAGCCAGGCCTTCCCGCTCGCCCACATCCTGGCCTTCATCCAGCACAAGCAGGGCGGCTGCGGCTCGCGGAGCGGAGCCGCCGACTCCTCCAGCGCCGCTCCCCCGTCACCTGCCAACCGGGCCAGGCGCCGGCAGGTCCCCGGCGCCAGACCGGGATTCATCGAGCTGCGRAGAGGCGGGGCCAGGGACCGGGTCTGGGGGGAGGAGCCCGGCTTGAGTGTGAAGGCGGAGCCTGGCAAATCAGGTGAGAGCAGGAAGGAGGCACAACAAGGTGGCAGGTTGCTAATGAGTGACTTTGTATTTTGTTGTTGTTGTTTAGTGTTTTTTCTTTCTATCCACCCTGGTCTTCATTTACCAGCCGCTCCTCCTCCCTCTCGAGTCCAGCTCATTAACTAGCCGTTGCCATTAGCAGAGCCGTGTGAGTTAGTGACGCTCGGGCTAATTGTGTGGAAAGGAGAGGCGTCAGGAACATTCGAAGGGCACTGAAGGTCCCCGGGGGCTCCAAGCAGAGCACCTGAGCTCCGGCTCATCTCCCCGGCTGTCAGTCTCTGAGGTGGAGTGGCCAGGTAAACATGTTCCTTCCTGCCTGACACGGACAGCAGGAACCCAAACCTCGGCCTCTGAACACACCCAGGCTTCTGTTTACGTGAGTTCTGCAGGTTGAAACGATCAGAGGAGCGGGTTAGAGCTGGCTCTTTCAGCTCCCCTGGTCGTTGTGACACCGTTAACGCAGGACGTTGCATCATCTTCATCGCCCTCCTCCTCCTCGGGTCCCTCAGTTCTGCCCCGAGCCGAGCCACCTGAACTCCTGGGAATCTCCTCCCCCTTATCCTCCTCTTGTTTTCATACAGTCGTGTTTGAGTGTCAGACGTAAAGCACCCGTTTTCCTAAAGCTCATCTTTTTCTTCTTGGTTTTAGTTAAAGAGGAGCATAAATGAGACTCGGACAAATAAAATGTCACGATGAGGCGGATAAGAAATCCCTGAAATTCTGTTTGAAGAGTTTTGTCGCTCTGATAAACGCGTGTACGAGACGAGGTGTTGATTTTAAAACAGTCACACTCCTGGGAGCCGTTCTTCTTATGAACATTTAACTTCTGAAAGTTTTGTGCCATTTCAACCGTTCATATATCAAAACTTTCAGCTCCTTCAGGACTTTCTGACTGACTTTCGGTACTTCAGCAACTTATGCTTTTTGAGATATTTGGCTTTTTCTGACTTTTTTCATTGAAATCGAACGGAGATGTCTTCAAAATCTTTTAAAACCCTTTAAAATGTTTATAAATATTTACTGTATTTTAATTTTTTTAAATATTTTGTACTAATTTCAGCTTCTATTTTGCTGATTTGAGTTTTTTCTGCTTTGTTTTAGTTTTCATTCTGATTTTTCCGCTGTTCTTCTGTTAATTTCTACATTTTTGTGCTTCTTACAGCTGCTTTCTACTAATTTCAGTTATTTTCTGTATTTTTAGCTACTTTTTTAAAGCAAGTTTTTGCTTTTTTTTTCAGCTGAATTCACGTTTCTGTGATAACTTCAGATTCCTACTATTTAATTTAGCAAATGTGCTCTTTCTGTTTGTGCTGATTTCAGTAATTTTGCTGTTTTTAGGCTGATTTTAGCCTTTTGTAGCTATTCTGTAAAATGGCATCTTTCTGAGCTTTTCTGCTATTCTACTGCTAATTATAACTTTTTGTGCTTCTTCCTGCTAAATTCAAATGTTGTGTTTTTAGCTAATTTGAGCTTTTTTCAGCAGAATTCACATTTTTGTGATAATTTTAGCTTTTTTACTGCTTAATTTAGCAAACATACTCCTTCTGTTTGTGCCAATAACAGCTACTTATATATATATATAAAGGGTTGGGGAATATTGGCAAAAAAATTAATCACAATTAATTGTGGTATTTAGCTGATAACGATTAATTTGATGGTTAATCCCCCGGAGTCCCTGGACACACGTGTATCCTAGTCACATGACCAATTATAGGGAGAAAATTGGCTCTTTGTAAAAATCTGTTCCAAATTGTGTCAAAATTACAGACTTCAGGCTATACATCAAACTTTAAATTGGGTTGGTAGATAAATAAATTACACAACTTTTTAAAATGTTGGTCATATTTGAGTCAGAGAGGAGCACCAAGCGGTTAATCTGCCTGGTAGCATTAATCGTATTAATCGTCAAGTGCCAAAAATTTATCGATTGTTTTTCTGGTGWTTAATTGCACACAATACGATTGCATTTGCTGTATTTTTGCAGGAAATGCAAATTCTCTTGTTTTGCTTGCGGACATGGCAGTTCTGGAACATGACAGAGGGAACAGTGGAGGTTCGACCGGCCCCCTGTTTTGGGCATTTCTGTCATGAAACATGAAACGTGCCTACAGTTCCTTCCTTTGTCCTAACGCTCGCGGGACGCATGCAAACCCAGTTTCCGTTTGTCCACAACTTCAGTATTTTTAATTACTTTTCTGCCTGTCTTGTAGTTTAATTTAATAACTTGCGGCCTACAGTATTTTAGATCTATATAAATATATATCCTTTTTTTTAAATCTCTGAACATATGCAGTTCTTCACTTTTCCTCTCAGCTGGCAGGTGTAGTTTAAAAAAAATGGCCGTCTTCCTGCTCTGAATGTGTCCTGACCCAAGAGGTGAGATGTTTGAAGATGTTTGAAAATGACTGAAAGTGAAAAACGGTTCCTCCACAGTGCACCAGCCCTCTGCCTATTTACTGTGATTTAAAAAAAAGGGATGGGGGAGAGAGGGGGGTGGGATTACTGAAGATCAGTGTGCATCTGTCTCATTCCTCTTTATTTATTCTCCTTGTTTGTTTTTTTCTCTCCTCCTCCATCTCTTCCCGTTTCTTCCCCCGCATCTTCAGCACACTTTGCCCTCTTTCAGTTTCTCTCATCCCCCTCCTCTTCCTCCTCCTCATCCTCTTCTTCCTCTCTTCTCTCCTCCCTCCGCCTCCCAGGGGAGAAGAGATTCTGCCTGCTGCTCGTTAGCGCTCCCAGCCAATCTGCATTTTTAATTAGTAGTTATTGCTTCTGCTTAATATTCAAGTGCTACCCTGGGCCAAATGGGAATCCTTACAAAAAAAAAAAGGAGAGAGAGGAGTGAGTGGAGGAAAGAGAAACCGKTCGGGTATTGTTTCTCTCCAGGACCCCGAGACAAAAGCCCCCCCTCCCCTTTCCTTCTCCTCATCGTCACCCTAAGGGAAAGATTTGGTGTTTTTTTTTTTTTTGGTGGTGGTGAGGGGGTGTCRGGGTTGGAGGATGGGTCTGGAGTACAAGTCGAAGGGTGACATATTTCTGTGGTGTCTCCTGGCCTCCCTCGTGCCGCATTACAATCTTTTTATCTCACTTTAGTTTTATCTCTCGAGTCCTGACCTACCTATCGCTCTTCATCTTTTTTCCCCCACCCATCTTCCTTCTCTTCACCCTGTGTTTTTTTTAAACCAAAAGCATCTTAACTTTGGGTTTCTCCTCAGGCTAGGTTAAAGGACACGAACACCACACAGCTCCTCTCATCTCCAAACGGAGGGAGGGTGAAGAGGGGAGGAAAAGAAGGGAAAAAAAGAGAAACGGTTGCTCTCTTTTTCATCTCCACTCCCCTCACTCCCCCACTTATTCCAATAAAATACAGAAGGATTTGACTTGAGGAAACATGAAAGAGGCTTATACCAGAGTCGGCTTTGAACCTCTCCAAAAAAAAGTGTATAAAACAGTTTTCCCTTCATTTTGGGGATCTTCTTTCCAGTTTTTTTATTTTTTTTATTTTATGCAGAAAGGCCTCATTTGTCAAGCGGGCTGAGTCAGAGCCTGATTTACATAAAGCCTCCGTTTTCTGCGTTCTGCTAATTAGCAATTTGCAGCTTAATTGGAAAGTGGCTCTCGGTTAGGAGACAAAGCTATCCCATGTATAAAAATATCTTCAGATGTACTTTGAGACATGGCTGCTGGCATCTTTTTTTGTATTTTACCTTTTGTTGTTCATGCTGTTCTTCACACCTTTAACTTGTTTCTGACCTGGTTTGGTCCAAGTCCTTCATCCYCCGGTGCTCCGTCTAACCCTCAGACATATCTGCTCCTCCTACACATTAGTTCTGTCGACTCTTTCATCGTGTAAAAGGTTTGTTTTCAGGACAAACAGATTAGCGTCTAAAGAAATGCTGAATAAAAAAGCAACTTTGTAGACAAGTTGATTGACAAATCATGTTTTCTGTACATGACCTTTTTTTGGACTTAAACTTAAAATGAAAACGTTATCCTCCTGGTCTGGAATGTGAAGCCAATATGAACGTTTTATAAAAATTACTATACTTTCTGAATGAAAACTGGAASCAACACCACTGATTTACAATCTCGATTTTTTTTTATGTAATGAGAGAATAAATTTTTACATTTATTCATTGTTTTTGTATTTCTAAAAATATTTTCTAGCTCAAACATTTTTAAAACTAAATATTTTAGAGTTATAAAATATTCAGTGCAATATGATATCATTATCATCCTAATACCAACACAAAAGTAAGGATGTGCATTGGTTCTGCAGTTTTGTTGCTTTTCACGATGCAATACTGTAAGCCAGGCGATGTATCGCCATTTTTTTCTCCAAAATATTTTAATTTTAAAAACTTTTTATAAAKAGCACACCATGCATTACATGCATAAAATTTGATTAAATCAAGTTTTTCATGCAATCAGATGAACACTAAACAACAGTGAGAACAACTGCATGTGTTTCTGTAGACAAGCTTTTAATACAATGTAGCGTAGTGGTATTTTCCTTTTTATTTTGGTTGTTGTTGTTGYGTTTTTGTGATGTGATTTTTGCTGTAAAGTGCTTTGGTCACCTTAGTTCTTCTTTAGTGCTGTATAAATCAGTTAATCAACACTCATCCATTAAGCTTTAATTAAAAATCCATGCAGTATCAGGAAATAAAATATTGTGATATTTCAATGTATCTATATTTTCTTACACCCCTAATGAAAAGTAAAAAAAAGAAAAGCTGGAAACTAAAAATGCTGTTTTAACTAAATTAAATTCTGTTTTTTGAAAGGTTGCTGTTGTTTTGTTAGTGGAAGTACCATGAAGTGTTTTCTCATTTCACTGGTATTTAAATATTATCTTTTGTCATCACAAAGGATGGTAGGTTCCTAAAAATCTGTTGTATCAGGTTATAAAGGTATAAAATAAACTAATGGGTAAGTTCTTTGCACTTGTTTTGACTCTGGGACACATTTGCTTTAATCAAAGCAAAGGACATTAAATGAAGAATAAATAATTAATCTTTCAGCTTCAGAACTTTGGTTCCAAGAAGACATTATGTTGTGATTTTATTCCGGATGAAGCTTAATTATTATTTTTACTGTAATATTCACCATCAAACATTTAATCTGTGTCTTGTCCTTCTTTGTTTGCAGCACCAGAGGAGCCCCCGTTTTTCACCTGCCTGCAGTGCGAAGGTGTGTTTTCATCAGCGTGGACACTCTTACAACACGCCCAGCACGCGCACGCCTTCAGCATCTACCAGGAGGAAGAGGAGGACGCAGACATGCTGGGAARAGGAGATGATGATAAACCTGCAGCAGCCGTTCTGGACCCTCGCCACCTGAGCCGCGCTCTGGCCTCGGCCTTTCAGCGGCGCTCCCGTCAGACGCACCTCCCCTCCACCGCAAACCCGCAGGGGATTAACTTTTCGGTGCGGCTCAGAGAGCTCGCTGAGGGGAGCGGCGGCGGCGCCCTCATGGGCCTCGTGTTGTCGCCGTCCTCCTCGCCGCCCGCTGCGTCTCCCTTTCCTCAGACAGGCTCCCACCAAGCGGACTTCCACTGCGACACCTGTGGCCAGAACTTCCCCTCCCTGCGCGCCCTGTCCGCCCACCGCCGGACTCACTCGTGCGACAGGCCCTACCACTGCGGCGTGTGCGGGCAGGCTTTCGCTCAGAGCGGTCAGCTGGCACGCCACATACGGAGCCACCACCGGGAGGCCGCCAGTGGAGGAAGCGGGTGCGAGTCAGCGGAGGCGGTCACGGTGGAGGAGGACGCTGGGAGGCAGAGGGGGAGGGGGAGGATTCAGYCAGCAGGAATAACAGGAAAGGCAGTTCAGGGTTCCTCTGAGCTGGACCTCAGCCTCCCCAAGCACCCCTCCTTAGCTTCAGGGCTGGTGCTGCTCAGCTCCCAGCTCAGGCCGTCAGACAGGGAGCTGCTCCAGCTCTACCAGAACCAAAGAGCTGGGCCGGAGGCAGGGGAGGAGGAAGCAGAGGGGCAAGGGGAGCCCCAGCCCTCCTCGCCTTGCGCCAGTCCTTCCGAAGGCTCGTTGGAGAGCGGAGAGACGGGGGGCAGTGGCGAAAGTGGCATCGCGAGCGGCAACTGCACGCCAAAGCGTCCAGAAATGGGCGACAGGATGCGGGGCGTCGGCGAGTGGGAGAGCGAACGAGGAGAGCTCATCGAGCGGGAGAAGGAGTGGACGCCAGCTCAGGTCAGCGAGGCCGTGCAGGAGTGGCAGAGGGACTCCGAGCGCCGGAGCACAGCAGGCGGGGCCGCCAACGCTGGCGCCAGCGGCGGYGCGGTGCCTTCGTCCACCGGGAAGAAGAAGAAGGACGAGGCCTGCGAGTTCTGCGGCAAACAGTTCAGGAACAGCAGCAACCTGACGGTGCACCGCCGCAGCCACACGGGCGAGCGGCCGTACCGCTGCGGCCTCTGCAACTACGCCTGCGCCCAGAGCTCCAAGCTCACGCGCCACATGAAGACCCACGGCGCCCAGGGGGCCAAGGCCTCGTTCCTGTGCCAGCTGTGCGCCGTGCCCTTCACTGTCTACGCCACCCTGGAGAAACACCTGAAGAAGGCTCACGGCCTGAGCCACGCCAGCGTGGGAGCGTACGCGCAGGCCAGCGCCGCCGACACGTTGGCCGCTCTGAGGGCCGAAGAAGAAACGGTGGCGGTGAAAATGGAGGAAGATGAAGCCAGTTTGGATCGGGTGGACGTGGAGAGCAAAGCTAGGAGCGACCCGGGCAGCATGGAGGTGGAGGAGGGGCAAAGCCACGCAGCGTTTGTGGAGGATCTCTCACATGGCAACGACGCAGAGGGGAGCGTGGCTTTGACTTCTGATCTCTGAGAGAGAAAATGTAGCACTTAAATGGATTTTAACTCCATGCAAATAAAGTTGAAACAAAGAAAACAAACTAAAAGAAGCTGCAACAGTTTGACTGCCCTGCCAGCTCRGAGGCACGCAGCAGCCTGCAGGCGTTCACAATCGTATGCGAAGCTGCYGGTTGAAGCGAAGTGCCTACAGTTCTTTTCAGACCACAGAGAAAAACAAGGCCGTGACATTCAGCAGGGAGATTACCATAGCTCATGAACAGGAAGCGCGCCGCCACAGTCCACACCAACACAGGAAACTGATCACCATGTTGCAGCGCAGGATGCAAAAAAGACGTTTGATTTATAACTCTGGTGACCCGCTGGACAGATGGAAACGGAGCGCTGCTGTCAATAATTCACTGAAAAAAAAATGCGATCAAATCCTGAAGCAACGTTAATATATTCAGCTCCAACAAACAGAGAGGTCACATGGCGCTACCTTAGCTGTTTTCTTTTGAGAATACCTTTTAAAGACTTTTGAACAGACGCAGGGCTGAGCTGAATCCAAACACTGTCTGCCTGTAGTTTGTCACACTCCTCCTTTTCTTTAAGGCGCTTAGTTGTCACAACACTTGTCACTTAATGTTTACAAGGCTCACGGGCCGAGCGAGGTTGTGCTCCTGACTTTGTGACTGTAAACATGAAAAACTTTCTGCTCCTTTTTTTATTTTATTTTTATTCTTATGTGAATATGGAGACTTTAAAGTCTTATTTACTGATGTTTTGTATAAGTTTCTATGCATAAAAGCCAGCAATTTTACCAACACATAAAACGAGTGTACTTTTTTTTTATTTTTCCTTTCTCTGCTCCATTTTCTTCCCTCCTTTTTTGTTTGTTTACATTTTGTTCAAGCGGACTCATGCATGTTTTGTTGTTGCTTGTCTTTGGATCATTAATTCATAGATGCTGCACGGCTGATTGGACAGGGTCGACGGGTCGGGAGGCCCCCGAGCCAGCACTTGGGTGAGCGTGTTGTGTGAAAGTTTAGGTGTGTGTGTTGATGCAAATCAGGTAAAAATCCCCCGACATGTCTACTTCAACCTCTCATCTTGTCTTTATCTTTTCTACCCCCCCACCACACCGGTCTTCATTTAAACACTCTTTACTCCAATCTGCTCATTTTAGAGTCAAACTTTAAGTGGATTGTCTTTTTTTTTCGTCATGACTGTGAAAACGTTCTGATCTTTGTTTATTCAGGTCWGTCTGAGTTTGGTGGTAATGATGAATGGATGCAGTAAAACTGTTCAGGGATGATAATSTTGTGTATAGATTCTTTAATGGTGATAATATCTGCCTGCTTCTGTTACATGTTCATGTTTCTCTTTGTGCAGAAAACTGTGCTTCGTTGTGTGTAAAATTATYGTTTTGTTATGAATCTTTTCACATGAAACCTCAATAAAGGTTTGAGGGAAACGGTTGTGTGCAGCTGCGTGTCTTTTCCACTATGTTCTCTTTGTTTTTCATGTTTCTTTTGTGAATTTTTTATTAATTTGGGACTTTCGGCGAGGCTGTTACAGCTATTTTTAAGTGATTTTTCTCACCGGATTGTTGTCTCAGTCGGTTCGGGTCGTTTCTCTGWGAACCACAGTCGGCGCTGACTTTTTAATTTTTAATGTGTTTGGATGAGGGACCTTTTTTATTCGTTGTTTACATCCTTCTGATGTTACTGGCTTCATCTCAGACTGCTGTATTACAATGCAAACGTTGTGTGAGGCTAAATGCCTTTGTTTGTAGATTTACTGTATTTAACTTTGTGTGTGTCACAGTGAGGGGACAGAGGTGGGCTGGATATCCCAGGGTACGGGATCGAAGGGGGGATGCCTCTGTTTGGCTTATTGTTTGTGGTCATGTGAACAAGGTGGGTGGGGAGTATCAAGGGGGCCGAGATAATTGCTGACTCCGTTTTAAGGGCATAAAACTGTCTACACCAGCATCCCTGGCCTTAGCCCCGCCCCCTCTAATGAAAATGAAGTTTGTGATCYCACTAGCTCATTAACAGCAGGTCTTTTAATGAGCTTTCAACAGGGCGGGGGGTTGGGCAGGCGTAGAGGTGGGTTATRGTGGGAGGTGGGGGAGAGTTATTGCACCAGATGCACACACGCCCACTCCCACCAATTACCACTGTATGATTGAGAAGGAGGAAGTGAGCAGAGTCAGTTTGTCCTTCAGAGACACAAACAACAACAGTGCAGGTAAACAACCTGTGTCTTCTCCTGCAGCACGTCGGGCGCCATTTGGTGCTCGCATGAACCCAGTTCTGTAAGTTGATACAGAGCAGAGCGGCACACTAACCCCTGCAGCAAGTCGATATCTCTTCCCCTTCATTGCTCTTTGTCTTGGAGCAGCTCCACACCTACCTGAGCTGCTCTCACAACCTGCACAGGTCAGTGTGGGAGGGGCCAATCACTGCAGGCAGGGTTCACCACATCAGCCAATGAGTGTTTCCTGACCAGCGGCTGCCTCTAACAGGTAGGAACGTTGGACTTTGACACCTATTAGTCGTGTCCCAGCCCCAACAGGAGAGTTTGTTCTCAATCACACAGTGTTCTCACATCGGACAAAGTGCCGCTCACGCATTAACAAGAACATGGGACAAACATGAGAAGCTGCTTGTATTCTGGTGACACAGTTGAAACAAATCTGTCYTTTGACCCTTTGGTTTGTGAAGAAAAAGAAAAGTTATCAACTCACGTTTTTGCATGAAGTCTCGGGGCCTGAGTCTTAGAATCTGATTAGTTTGTTGTTTTTGGCCAAGACTTTGACGCTTTAATTGATTTTATGAGACATGCAAAGAAAACAATGACGTAAAAATATGAGTGAAAGTTTGACCTTTTGAAATTGTAAATTTAAAGGTTGATTTGAATATAACATTCAGACTCCACAGGCTAATCACAAATCTGAGTTAATTATCAAATGTATAGTTTTTTTTTTTTGATCAACCAACCTTATCACCCACACAGCAGAGATGTGTGGGCCAGGTCTGGCAATGATGGCACTGTCTTAAAGATKGCATGCCACAACTGGCCCAGTTGTGTTTTGGTTTATGTGCTGCTGGCCCATGCACGGAGCAGCTCTGGGCCACCAAAAGACGGTCGGTCATTCTTTGCTGTATTTGGGCCAAGTTTTAGAGTATTAGTGCCTACTGGGCCAGACAAATATTGCTATACGGGTGTGGTGACTCAAACTGGTCTTTAAGAAACCAGGACCAAAGTGGGTTGCTGCTAATCTTAAAATGACTCCAGTCTCAAAAACCTTCAGTTTTTGAGAACGCTGCTTGTAAAACTGCATTCTTGGTTGTGCACATCATTTTGTTGTCCACCCATCTCGGCCTGTTTTGGACCCATTTTTGGCAGGTGGCCTCACCTTTATGATTTAATCTGCTGGAGTACATTACGAAATGAAGGCAGGCAGATTCAGAACAGTTTTTCTATCCTTCATTTATCGTCAGCCTGATTTGTGGGCCTCTGTTTTCTGTCAGAGGTCTTTTGAAGGTGTCAGCACTCTCGAGACGAGTTGGACACGCACACAATGACTGAGGTGAAGTGAAAAACCAACACAAACGTCACAAGACAATCTGGATAGTTCCACATGAATCTCAGATTAATGGTAATGGTGGTTTGTTTAATTCATCTGAAACAAAAGACTCTGTGTTTTGTTTTGAGACAAAATCTGACTTGAAATTTATCTGAACTGCAGAGGAAAACATTTTGATTTTCTCAGAAGTGGAACCTAGARATTAAGATGAGGATTTAAACTACCTTTAACCCATCTCTCAGTTTAAGTAAACCCCTATAAGGTCCAGTGTTACTGAAAACACAAATTCCCCATCTTCTCTTTCAAGTCTGATCCTGATTGTTGAAGAGCTATTTTCTTCTGTCATAAGGCTCCTCTCTGGCAGCGWAACCAGAAATTCAGATTAAATTTAAGATGATTAGCTCTGAAAATTCAACAACAAAGGGTCTGTGCGAGCTGTATGTTTGCTTTGCCACGGGCCAGGCCTGTGGCAACGAGGAGCTCTCACTTATGTATGAGGGGATTGTGCTTTATCATGTAAAAAGCCAATTAACTGTGAGTTTTTAATTACATTTCTCATGGCGTACTGTGTGAAGCCTCCAATCATCTCTGCAGACGATGCCCTGTTTTCTTCCTCCTCCCTGGAATAGCTGAGGAGGAGGAGGAGGCTTGGGATTAAACCGTCACCGGGGTCGACAGAGGTGGGAACAACAAGAAAGGAGTAAGCGGTCAGACAAACCGCAGCTCAGCTCTTTATCCTCGCAGAGTTCCCACAATTCCCACCTCCTCTCGGCCGTGCCTCCTCCCACAGTGACCACCAAGTGAAACCTGAACCCTGGAATTACACCTGCCTCCTCTCACCTCCTAACAGTGAGGAGGCGAGAGGGTCCCGGGCTGAGCTCCGCCAACCCGTCATGCCTTAATCACGTCAGCCGGGAAAAACACAAGACGGACGAGAACGGAGGTCATTTCAGTTTGTTCTGGGTGAGAAGTGGGACTGAACCAAGAGCCTCGTTTATTCTAACAATAAAATATGATGCTGTGTTTAAAAAGAAGACACAAAAACCTGCTTTCCCTAAACATGAACAGATTTAAACTGTTGTTACAGCTTTATTATAGCAATAAATGTTATTGTGCTAAAAAAAACAAGGAACACACACACTCACTCACTCACTCACTCTGGGGTTAATTACTTGGTGCAATTTGATGAAAATCTCATCTTCTGCACTGAATCTGATAATTAAGCTAAACGTAACTTATGATGGGTCAACTGATATTTTATTCTTTTACTTAAATTATGCAGATTGTTTACAGAGCAACAAGAGTAAATAACAATTCTGTGAGGCAAACAACCCGAAGAAGAGATAATCAAACATCTGCCGTCCTTATTACCTGCTCCTGTTTATCCCTCACATCACACCGACCCTGGACCTGGTGACCTTCCTGCTGAATGTGACACATTCATCTGCTCAGGTGAATGAACACACACACACACACACACACACACACACACACACAGGTCAGTCAGTTCTGTTCTTCAACCAGCCCATGAGGGGCCTGCCAATAAATGCAGGAAAACTGGATTTTTTGACCATAAACAATCTTTCCCTACAAACACACACACACTGGGGTCAGAGGTGTTGTCTTGATAGTGAGTTAGTAAGTTCAGGATTTAGAGTTCAGACCTGTGACAGGTGAGGGGCCCGAGGGCAGGTGAACCGCCTGAACCAGAGTCCTCCCTCACAAGCAACAATTCTCCTCCAACAAATCTCCACGGCTCGCACGTTTCTTCTTCTCGTCCTTCATTTGAATAAATCAGCTCAGCTGAGCGTCAGTTGCTTTGATGTCGACTCGCTCGCTCGTTCTCTCAGAGTCCGTGGAGATCTTTACAGAGAACATCTTTACTGCAAGTAAAATTAGTGAGCAAACCTGTTGGGGATTCATTGTACGGCCGAACAAACGAAACGTTCAGAGTCAGTTCTCACAATCTCCAACCTGAATGTTGAACAAAGGAAATGTGAGTTTGAAGAATAGGCTTTAAGTTTGAAGAGGAATAAGAGTCGACTGTACCAGATCATGTGATCCAACACTGCTCCATCTATCTGCTCACTAAGAGGAACTCTAATTTAATCTAAAAATGAAATATATATATATACGGTATACATAAACATCCATAAATCTTTTGTCTTTGTTTTGACGTTCAACCTTTTTTAACCTTAACTTCTGTGAGCAGCACAAACATTACATTCAGATGGGTTTGGGTCTGAAATATGAGAGATTTTAAGGATGATGTGTTAACTGGATGACTTTGCTCTTTATTATTTTCAATAAAAAGTTGGACCGTTCAAATGTTATATCTAAAAAGCTCAGTTATCTTTCTAATCCAGCATTGTTTTTTCTAACAAACAAACTTTGTTTTTTCAAAATGTCTTCCAGATTTTAGTAAATAGTTCTTCCAACCATTTATAAGTGAGCCAACACAGATGCTGTATTTATACCAAAATAATTATAAAAACATTTTACTTTATGTTTTGGAAATAGTAAAAAAAAAATGCCTTTATTAAATTACATTGATTAAACTGATTGTGACTGGGCAGTTTTGTCAGTTTTTTAGTTTTTTTTAATTCAGTTGACATGGTAAGAAACAAATTCAGAAATTAAAACATAATTTATTAATATTTAATTATGCTGCAAAATCAAGAGTCAGCATCATGGCAACAACTAGATTTCTGAGTGAATATTAAGCCTCTCTTAAAATAAATAATTACATTAAAAATCTGCTTTAACAACAACAAAAAAACTACTTAAATGCATTCTAAACATAAAAAGCAACAAAAACAAAAGTATTTTAGAAACAGAAAGTGGGTCACTCGTCAGACTCGAGGGGGTAAAAGGATTAA